AGCGCCTGCAGTTCAGCCCATCTCCTGTCTGGCTGGGGAGGAGGGCGCTCAGCTCTGCTTTCAGATGGGCTTATTCTAACCAGCCTTTTCTTCTCCCCCTGTTTTTCTTCCTCAGACAGATTTCATGCTTACGGCATTCCAGCCCAACCCATCCCTTACTCCCAGGCTCCCGTTTCCCATCGGACCAGTTCCTGTTCCGATGGTCATGCCGAGTGCTGATCCTCGGACACTCTCCTTTCCGCTCCTGAACCCCGCGATCTCCAGACCCAACCAGCCTTCCCCACCGCTGCCTGCTTCCCAAGGAAGAAACAGCCCGGTAGTGGCATCGCTTATTGGCACACACAGCCCTCACATGACTCCCGCTGCCTCCATCCCTCCTCCGCCAGGCCTGGGAGGAGTTAACGTCACTCCAGAGTTTCACAGGCTGCAGCCAGCCGATAAGCTGGAAAAGCTGCTGGAGAAGTTGTTGGCTCGTTTTCCACAGTGCAACAAGTAAGTGTCTCGCCTCGTCCTTCCCTGAGAGTGAAGGCTTGCCTGCGGGATGTGAGCTGGGCTGAGGGAAAGTGGAGCTCCTCTTGGTGCTTGCGGGGTCGGGGGGGAGCGAGGGGAGCCTGAAGGCGAGGGGTGAAGTCTGGGTGCTCTCAGTCGGGTGTGCCATAGCACTGGGAATGAGAAACGTTTGGAGCTTGGTCTAAAGGACAGCAGTGGTACCTGAGCGTAGGCAAGAGCGCCCTACGCACAGCACCGCCTCAGGCGAGTCCTTCAGCTTCCGCAGTGCTGCATCCTGGCTGCGTGACAGGTGGGCGCTGTCTCTCACTCCAGCTGGGGTTTCCCCGCTCTCCCAAACGTTTTGGGGACAGAAACTCGCTCAGCATGCAATTCGCCTCATTTTAGACGGTTGAGAGCACGCGCTCCTTTGCCGTGATACTGGCTCGCCCTGGGGGTGCGGTGGCTGGCTCGCCGGGAGCGGTGTTGCAGGGCCTTTGACGGAGGGTCACGGTCCGTGGGGGCCGCTCGGCTTGCCGGTGCTGGCTGGGCGTTCTTAGCAGGCTGCTGTCCCTGCAGGGCCCAGCTCACCAACATACTGCAGCAGATCAAGACTGCTCGGAGGACCATGGCGGGTCTGACCATGGAGGAGCTGAACCAGCTGGTGGCGGCCAAGCTGGCGGAGCAGCAGGAGCGGGCAGCGGCCGGGGCTCAGGTGGGAGAGCGGCGAGGGGCCGGCAGTGGCCCAGCAAACTCCTCGCGGGGGGCTGCTGGGAAGGGGAGCCTGGGTAGCAGTGAGAAGCTGCGCCCGCTCCCTGGTTCCCTGCAGACTGAGCCGCACAGGGCCCGCTGCCGGGGCCGCACAGAGCTCGGGCTGCGCGTGTCCCCTGGGTTTCTCTTTCTGCTGACTGTGGGAGCACTTTTCCCTGGGGTGACTTGGGGTAACACGGCTGTGCTTTCCTTCTGAGCTTTTCTGATGTGCCTCGTTTGCCTTGCTGCAGCCTCTCAGTCGAATCAGAGCCCCCATGTTCTCTGCTCCGCTGCCTCAGATCAGCACGCCCATGTTCCTGCCCCCCGCCCAGGTGGCTTACCCCGGAACAGCGTCACACGTAAGGCTTTTTGGCTTTCCTGGAGCACTTTGCCGTCCCCAGGGAAAGCGGAGGGAGGGAGCCCTTCTGAGAAGCGGCCGAAAGGATGAGCCAGTGAAGCCGGGACCTCCCTCCTCACACAGCTACTTGGGCTGGTGAGGTAGAAGGGAAGGGTTAGGGTCATGGGTCCTTCCTGCTCCGCATCGGGGGAGAAGGGAACAGCTGCGAGAGAGGTGTCAGAGGCTCGAACGTGTGACGGCTGTGTGCAGAGGGAGGAATCGGGCAAACTGTGGCCCCTGGCTGCTGCTGGTGGGACAAGTAGCTGGAATGTGGAATACGTGATCTGAGCTGGGGTGTCTGACTTGTATGCCTGTCTCCTTTCTGTCCCCTCGCTGCTCATCCCAGACCCCGGCCGCCTGTAAGCTGTGTCTGATGTGCCAGAAGCTTGTGCAGCCCGGTGACCTTCACCCCATGGCCTGCTCGCACGTGCTGCACAAGGAGGTGAGTGTGTTTCCCCGCCGTGTGCTGCTCTTGGGTTCCTCGTAATGGTTCCTAGTGCTGATTCCCTTCCGTGGGCCCTCGGCACAGGTAGCGAGTGCCTGCTGTACTGAGATCTTGCCAGGAGAAGAGTATGATCGATAAATAACTTCTCTTCATCCTGTCATCCTCCCTTTCCTTACTGGGCCACGCTGAGTGGCCATTTGGTGGTGGCTTTAGGAACAGGCTGTCCGTATTCCATCCTCCGAGCCTGTGCTCGTTGCTAGGAGTGTTAGATCCTGGCCTTCTGCCTTCTTGGAGCAGGACAGTCTGGCAGGATCTATAGAATACGGGGCGATGGAGAGAGCTGCCACCGTCGCCCAGGTGTCCGGGCACTGTGGGTCTGTGCACAGGAGCTCTTGGGAAGAGGAGGAGGCTTTCTCGTCCCACAGTGCTGGCAGTGGTTCACCTGTGTAGGCAAACCCCTCATCCCAAATCCCTCTGGGGCCTCCAGCAACTGCCAAGGAAATGGAAAACCGTGTCTTGAGGAGGGCCTGATGATCCTGCTAGGTTGAAGAGGGCTCCCTCTGCATGGCGACCTTTTGATGGAGGCTGTCTCTGAGGAGCAAAAGAAACCATCCCTTAAAATGAGTGCTCGTGCCAGCGCTCTGCTGGAAAAGTAGTGCCACGCTGTGTTCACAGCGCCTTTGAGTTGTGCCAGTGGCTCTTGACTAATTCTCTCTCTTCCAGTGCATCAAATTCTGGGCACAAACCAACACAAATGACACTTGCCCCTTTTGCCCAAGTCTCAAATGACGGCTACTCGAACAAAGCGGTCCCGCACGAGGAGTTGCTGTGAATAGACAGGATCAGTTCTAAGATTTCTACAGTTCTATATTTATACGACCATGTATACACATGTACATTTTTATTATATAGGTAATGGTGTGTATAGAAAGTCTGTATACATACAAATTCATAAATAAAGTGTGTATATTATGCAGTGATTTGGTGCTGCTCCTTATTTCTTAGTTGGCAGCCTTGCTGGCTTCCTTTCGAAGGCGTGTGAGCGTAACCTGCTCGCTGGGACGCGAGTGGCTGCTGGAGCGACTTCTTCCCACGTTGCTTCCAGCAGCTCCTTGCCGCGAACCATTCCCCTTGGTGGGACACCTCAGCGCCCTGTGCCCCAGCGGACCGGTCCCCTGCCGTGTCCATCACCCAGTAGTTACCCTCTTGGCAATGAACAGGTTGCAGATGCCCAGTGGTTTTTTGTGGTCTTTTTTAATGTAATAATAATTTACCGTGTTAACATTCATTGTTCTTACATAGACAATAGGTTACAGAGTACTGGAGTCCACAGCGACAGCCTGCAGTAACCATCCCCGTCCGCCTCCGGCAGGGCAGAGTTCCGCACGCGCCTTTACCCGCCGTTCCCTGCTGTAACTGGGCACTGGGGAGGGAGCGCTCAGGAGTGAACGGAGTCGGCTGCACTGCAGCTCAGGATAACCAACCTGTCGCAGTTCCTACTTTCCCCTCTCCTGTACTTTCTCCTAAAGCACGGGCTGACGCACCAACGCTTTCTCCATGGATTTCGGTGGGATTACGAGGTGCTCAGCACCACTTAAAATCTTGCACTCACTCTGTAAAAATTTTTTTCCCCTTCATTTGCAATCTGGGGCACAAATTCAGCACTGCTAGAGGCAGCTATGCCTCGGGGTTGGTCAGGGCAAGTGCTGCCTGGGTGCAGCACACCTGAATTTGGCCGCAGTCCGAATCTTTCTGCACGCACACACACGCTTGCCAGCGCGTTTTAAGGCTGTGGTCCACAGCAGAGTCTCTGGGATCCTGGGGGGGTCCTGGGCAGGCACGAGGGTGTGGAGGTCTGTGCGCGCTCTGCAATAGCATAGCGTCGCCCTCTTGCGCCGGAGCGGAATCGCTGGATGCTTGCAGTTTTGGAGCAAGGCATGGGAACTGGACGCTAGTTGCAAGCGCACTAGTAGCGAAGTGGGACAGTTTAGGGGTGCGTGTAACGGGCTGCTGGGGCAGTGCCCAGTGCTAGGGCTGGCTCGCCTCTCCTCCTCTGGTGGCCTTTTCAGTAGGGAATCTCGGTCTTAAACAAAGCGCTTTGCCAGCCAGGTTGGAGGCAGAGAAGTAAGTACAGCGAGATCAACCGCCTGCAAGCTCAAGGGCGTCTGCCCTGGGGAAGGGAGAAGGTGAGCCTGCAGCGGCCCCCTCTCTCTGGGGCAGGGCGAGCTGCAGCAGGCGGGGAGAAGGGGAGGGTTGTCCTTAGGTACTGGGAAGTCCTCCCTTTGCTGTAGGAACACCATGAGGACAGAAGTACCTCCTGCGTTCAGTGACCTTTTGGCTTGCGGACCACTGCGCTGCGTGCTCCAGCCCTGCCCTGCTCCTGCATCCCTCCACCACTGTCACCACCTCCTCTGAAACCAACTTAGACCACCTCTGACCCGTAAAGTGCGTCCACCCGCGCACACCGCTGCGGAGCAAGCCCTGGCCTTGGGTTGTGGCCAAGGCCCTGGGACTGAGCAGAGGGATAAAAATATTAAAAAAAAACCCAAACAAAACAGAACAGGACCAAACCCCCTAACGTTGGGTTTAGAACAGTGGCTTTCAGCGCTAGAATTAAAAATATAGATATATGTATATATTGTACAGGTGAGAAGCGACCGTTATTTGTACACCCGTGTGTGGTGTGGGACCTGCTATATACACGCTCTGATTCTGCACAGCTGCGCTACCAGTGACTCGCATATAAAAAAAAAAAAAAAAAAGAAATAAATACAACCATGTGTTTAAAAAATAATAAACGCTGCAGTCCCCACAGCCGCCGCCTGTCCCCAGGCTGCCGGGGTGTCTCACGCCGCGGGAGCAGGAGCAGGAGCCGGAGCCGGAGCCCCGCCCAGG